GCCATTGTTGTTGTGATACTGTGTCGCGCATGCGTGTTTAGAGGCGACGCTATGACGCATGCGTGTAAAAAAAAAAATGCGGTTAGAGCTTAAAGATGGAAACGCGAAAACAGCGTTTCAGAATCTTCCCACTGAAGGCTAAATAAAATAAAGATTGTTTACAGACCCCCGAAACGCCGGCTTCGTGTGGATGAGAGGCTGGTTTGGTGAAAAATTTGTGCGTTTAGGCCAGGGTTCGGCTTCGTGTGGACGGGGCCTTAATCTACCCAGCCAATTAACCAGGTGAGTCCTATCTGCACAGGTTAATTCACGGTGAAGATTGGACTCACCTGCTTCAGTGGCTGGGTAGAACAAATACATGACATGGAGATGACTTGTTGACTCCACATTTCCCATGTCTGATATAAGACATTTGAAGTGAGAAAGCTTCCTGGAGAGGTGGCGAAACGTCTTCAAATCTTGAAAAACAAGTCCAGTGGAATTTTTTTGAACTTTTACGGAAAAATATATCAGCATGCTTCCAAAATCTCCAATATTAGAAAGCTTGTAGAAACACTTCTTTTCATCCACTTTTGTTTAAAGTGTATTTGCCTCTTAGGTGAATAAAGAAAATAGCTAAGTTGTTCCAATAACTAACTTGTTAGTTATTGCTCTCTGAGAAATATCACTTGATCAAGCCTTTTCTATCATTCCACACCATAAAATATTGAATCAAAGTATGTCTGATTTATGCTGATTTTGTGCCGGGTCAATATCGGTACTGGTCAATACTCACAGCTGCAAAATTGGTACTCTACACAAGCGTTATCGGATATGTGCAACATTTGTATTGCAAAGGACAGTTAGGAATGCAGTAACTGTTATGATGAACTTGCATTTTATGTGATCATGTAATATTTAGCAAGTTGGGACGTGGTCTGACAGCAGCAGATGCTCAAACTAGATAGAAATGAGCTTTAAAAGTTCAGTTTAGGCAACTGGATGTAAAGTTTTCTAGAAGACATTTCGCCTCTCATCCAAGAGGCTTCTTCAATTTTAACTAGTGGTGAGGAGAATCTTCACACATAGATAAGAATGTTTAAAATAGTTAAACGCAGCTCGGTCTCGGCATGGATCGGTTTTTCAAGGGTAGTGTAAATGGGGTAATAGTCATTTAAAACCATAAAAAAGATGTCCCTTTTATTCAAGCTCTCTAAAAATAACTTTCATCCAGAGGTGGAAAAAATGTGCAGCAAAATGAAAAACAAAACGTACGTACCTGGGATCAAGCAGCAGGTAGTTAAAGCTAGACTTGATTACTCCCTCCCTCCACTTCCTGTTTTGATCTGGCTGGTCAAACTGCTCGCACAAAGTCTGCTCATCAGCATGGCAGTTGGGCAGCTGGAAAGTCCTCAGGACCCGACAGAGTTCTGGACTATAACCTAAATCTAGATAAATTTAAGAGGAGAAAACATGTGTGAAAGCTTTGACAGGGGTGCAACATTACAAGAATTATTTCCTTATCTAGCAAAACCTAATGTTATTTCATAAACATTACCTTTCTGAGGTTTTTCTGGCTGCGTCTTGTGACCCTGTGTGTTGCAGTTTGCCTCCTGCAACAGACGGCAGAGCCTCCTCATATATGTTGGCCTGGTGCGGCTGCTGATGGGACCCGGGCTCTCTCCCAGTTCCACCAACTTCAGCCTCAGCTCCCTGTCAGTCATTCCTCTAGTTCCTGTCAACGGGCTGCTCTCAGATTTATTCTGTTCCTCTCCCTGTTCCAGCATCTCAGGTGACTGGTTCTCTTTCCATTTGTTACTCTTCATTTCAGTTTGCAAGGATTGCCAGTCGTACAGAACTGTGTCATCACAGGCGCTGGTACTTGTGCTGGTGCTGAGCGAGGTGTCTGACGTAGGCGGGACGTGCGTCTCAATGAGCTTGTGGCCCTGCTCTGTATCAGTGTAGAGATACTCCACCGGTTCATCCAGGTCGTGGACGCCCATCGGGAGGTGAAAAGACAGTTCCTTTGTTTGCTGCGGTCGATGGATGGTTGATAGCCGGCTCATGCTGTACCTCGGGGTGTATCCTGTACCTGGAGTACGCAGACGTTCAGAGTCCTCTGCAGATCTCCTTGGAGAAAATAAGCTAGAGGTGGATGAAGAGGATGTGGAGCCGGACTGTGAGCTGTGGTCTTCAGTCACCCAAACATCATCATTATTTAAATAATCTTCCTCTTTCAGATCCTCTACTTTGGACTTTGGCAAACTACTCAGATCATCATTTAGAAGTTTCCCATCTTTAGAACAATCCCTGTTCTGTTCTCTTATGGCCGTAACAATCTCAGCAAAATTTCTTTCGTACTCATCGTCGGAGTTGTTCTTGACATCTAATACCACCGTGTCTTCTAAAGACTGTGATCCCTCAGCAGTGCTCTTATGTAGAATAAGAGTATCAGCTTGGCTGTTACTGATGCTTGGATCTCTAAATGTACTTGATTGAGAGTCCTGGCTCTCCTCGGCTAGAGAATCTCCTCCGCCGCCTGTCTCTGAAGAGTCTGACGTATAAGTAGGTGTTTTGGAGTTGAAACGGTGTCCGCTACCCTGAGACCTGGGAGTGTTGCGGAACATCCGAACTGGTGTGGGTAGCGTTTCCTCAAATAAAGCAGAGGTTATTAAGAGGCTCTCAGGGGTTCTGCTTGTTCTCATTGAACAGCGGCTCAATCTAGAACGTGTTCTTCCAGTGACAAAAGGACTCGGAGTGAAACCAAGTCCGCTGTTTTCTTGAGATGCCTCACCATCTTGCATAACCACGTCTGGTTTTCTCACAGTGCTTAAAGAACCACTAGAAGCTTCCTTTTCTGTACATTTATCAACAGACAATGTCAGTTTATCAATCAAACCTGACAAAGGGTCTTCAGCTTCAGGGTTTGAGTCCATCTTGTGTTCTGTTTGAACACCAAGAATATCTCTGTCTCCCTTTTCAAGTTCATTATTAGAGTCAGGGAAATTGTGTTCAGTTGTTTTGTGGGATTCAGTCACCTCCACAGGAGGGAATACAGGATGTTTTGGGTGTAAAGGAGCATCCAGACAGCTGGTGTAATGGTCACTCTCACAGCTACTGTACTGACTGCTACTAGTCCCGCTGCTGCTGCCTGCATGCGTCTGCTCTTTTCGTTTAGAAGGACTCTCCTGATGTTCTGTGTTATCCTGCCCCTCTGGTTCATCATCATTCAGTTTGAGATCACAGTGGCTTATTACCGTTTTCTCCAAGTCCTCAGGAGTTTTATCACTGCTAGTTCTACTGAAGACAAACACATGGTCCGGTGATGTGACGTCGATCCCCTGCTCTGGTAAAACCGTGGCTAAGCGATCCGAATTTAGGAAGTCTGTGTATTCAGACATGTCAAAGGGTAAAGTGTCCGTGGACTCGTCGATTTCAGTGGCAATGCCTTGCTTAGGGGTTTCTGGGCTAAATACAGGAAAATATTCATCTACATTTCTGAAGCAAACACTCTTTCGACTCGCTCGTTTGGAAAAATACTCATGAGGAGCATTGCTGCTGGAAGGAGACGCCACACCATTAATACAAGCTGCCTTTTCGTCATCTTTGGTCATCGATGCATCAATTAAACAGAAAGCATCCTCTTTTGGAGCTGCCACGTCACCTGCAGGGCCTGCTGCAGAAATGCGAGTGCTTGACAGAACAGAAGGTCCATTAAATGATACTCCAAAGCAACTTGGTCTTCTGTCTATGTTAGACGAGTTCAATGCGGAGGAAAACCTTGTGCTGCTGAACAGGCCTTCACCAAAATCACTTATCATGGAAGAGCGGGAACTGAAGCTGTAGTCTGATTCAGGGTAGCTGGACGTGTCAGCCTGGTCTGAGTACACAGCTTTGACAAAAAAAAGAAAGAAACACAGATTATCTGTAAAGATTTGCTCTTTATACATTTTGCAGTTTTTATCTAATGCCAATATATTTAATGGAATATACTTGATTAATTTTTTTGCAACCTTAAACAATTTGATTTGTTTAAAGTTGGTCAGAATAAGCAAACACTGAAATATTGTTTGCCTGTTTTTAGCCGTCAGATTGTGAAAAGGAAATAGAAATATAAAAACAAAAAGTAATTTATGACTTTGAAAAAACACCTGATGACATTTGTGTTTATTTCTATTATTACTGATATACTATAGTTTCTCCAGATTGGAAAAATCGAATATTTGAGCCCAAAACATTTTTTAAGAAAACTTCCTTACATTTCTTACAGTACTGAAACCGAGGAAAGTGGTCGTCTGCCTCAGCTGAGCTGAACTGGTATTCTTGAAGAAGAGAGGCACATTTCTTGTTGTCGTGTTGCTCTGCTAGCTTCGCTGGTGTGTTCCCTTCCTGTACGTACAAAAACAAATAAATAAATAAATTGAAGCTGAACAATAATAGATCTTCTAAAACAACAAGAGCCTGAGCATGAACGGGTTAAAGTAACTTGTTTCTATTTTATTTTTCTCAAAACTGATATTTTTGTAACATGATAACATTTAAACTGTGTTGTCTTGGCAGATGGAGGATGCTGAACAAATTAAGAGGCCTCTTGTTGCTTGTTGCAGTCAGTAAACTGTTTTATACACTAAGTCAGCAGGAAAGCAGTCAGATAAGCTGCCTTAAGTTTTCTTCTCTATTTTCTTTATCATTTCTTAACAGTTTTAGTGTGTATCAGAAGATATTAATGCTTTATAACTGCATTACAGAGGTCATTCTGTGTACTCTATGTGCTTTAAGACAAAAAAAAATGTATTCAATTAATGTATCTGATTAACCGGGATTAATTGACAATTGAAATAACCGTCTCTAACACACGATTAATCCACTTGGAGCAATTATGCAAAAATTGTAAAATAAAAATATGTAAACACTTTGCATTTAGATTTTAAAAACGTTTTGTCCGTGAATATGCTCTAACCAGTCTATTTTAAGTAACATAGTTTTAGCACCACCTGGTTTAAGGCACCTTCTGCTATCTGATTATTAATCGATTAGTTAAAAAAATAATAAAAACATGACTCAATTGGTAAAATAACCATGAGTTGCCGCCCTATTCTCCTCACTGTTCTGTCCTACTCATGGATGGATGGATGGATGGATGGATTGATGGATGGATGGATGCTGCCAGAGGTTGATCTGAACAGACTATACAATTAAATCATTCAGTCATGAATACACTTGATTCTGAGGTGAACAGGGTTTTATAAAACTGGATATAACTTGGACCAATTTCTTAACGTTCCTCAAGATTTCCATTTTTATTGAATAAATGAGATATAAACAAACTAAGAAATGAATTATGTCCTGATTGCTGCTGGCATACAAAGTAAATCGACTTTTACTCACAAGTAGTCTCTGAAAAGCCACTTTCAGTATTCTACAGTGCAAATCCAGGTATAAACTTGACCCAGATACTACAATACTAAATCAGCTGAGAACAAGCTGTTCAACTATTATGACTTACATCATCTTTTACGTTTGGGTTCCCTCCATTCATCAACAGCACCTTGAGATTTTGATAACATCCCCAAAGAGCAGCAACATGAAGAGGAGTCAGACCTTCAGAAGACCTAATAGAGAAAACAATACAAAATCAGTTTAAACTGGTGTAGAATATGTTTTTTAAGCAGCTTAATTCAACTGCTTTTTGAAAATTTTTTTGATTCCAATGTATAAAACTATACCTTATGTTGGGATCGGCTCCATGCTGCAGCAGCATTTTCAAGCAGCGTATATTCTTTTCTGTCTCGTTACCAACTGCCAAGTGTATTGCAGCCACACCTTCACTGCCCACCAGGTTAGGGCTTGCACCCTTGGAAAGGAACAGCTGCACATTTCTGCAATGAATCAAGACATGTGACACCCTGGTAAAAATGTTTTATACACCTTACAAATAATAATAACAATCTTAAACACTATTTATCCAAGAAAAATGTATGCAAAGCTGACCACAGTGATTAGGGCATTGCACTTGGGTCCCAGAGGTTCTGAGTTCAAGCCCCAATCCCACAGACTGCCACTCTGGGTCCCTGAGCAAGACCCTTAACCCTTAGACTGCTCCCCAGGTGCCACACAATGGCAGCCCAATGCTCCCCAAGGGTATGGGTTAAATGCAGAGAGTTTTTTGGTTGCTTTGTACTTGTGACAGCGTGATGACAATAAAGTTTAATTATATTATATTCTTGAAGTTGGATATTCGACAAACATTTGCTCTGGTTATACCTCTTCCTGTATCTCATATTAGAGACCTTACAGTAGAAAAACGATGAGAAAACGGCTACAGCATGTACAGACTTCTTATTTTCAAAATAAACGTGTAGGCCTAGATTTTGAACCTGAGAAGCTACCAAGCTACAATGTTAATATTTATCCCACATACAAAAACTGATAAATATCTAGAGATTTGATATGCAAGACTAAAAAGGTGTATCTCATGAAACCAGTACAGTACCATGATCCCTTATAGATTTTGTGTCAGTCAGTCACAAAACCTGGAAACTATTAAGCCAAAATGTTAATATTTACACATATTTTATTTAAAAACTATTAAGAGTCTAGAAATGCAAAAATAAAAGGTGTATCTCTTGAAGCCGATGGAGAACGATGATCCAACACAAATTTTGAACTCATTACCTGGACGCTATTAAGCAAAAATGCTAACATTTCCATAATAAGAATCAATTAAAAATAATTCAAGAACTGAAATGGAAAAATAAAAAAACTTAACTTTTGAAGACAATGGAACACGAATATCCGACACTGATTTTGAGTCAATTGATCACATGACCTGGAAGCTATTGAGCAAAAATACTAATATTTCCATTAAAAAAAGTATGAAAAATAATTTGAGAACTGAAAATGAAAAATAAAAGATGTAACTTTGAAGCCACATCCAAAAAGCCCTATTAACACACCACGTTAACTAAGCGTGTGCACTTCGCTATATATCACCTAATGGTTGCAGGTAATGCTTTGTGTCGCTCCAAAGTCTTTTCATAAGGAGAAACAGATACGAAACTTTCTCTAATTCTTGTTTGCAAATTTACTTTACCGGATTTGACTGTGGAGTTTTATATCAAGCATTAGGTTCCTTGTGGTTGTGTTGAAGGTGGCTGTGGAGATTTGTTTTGTTTCCCCTAGACTTAGCAACTTTTTTTCGGCATGACTTGCATATAACTTGTGTCTATAATTCGTCCTGTGCTGCAAAACCGAAGCAGTCCCAATTCCAGAGGTGCATTGTCTTAGGAAACAGTTGCATTCTGCTTTCATCTTCATTGATGTCTTCATCCCCCGACATGCTGGTTGTTGTTGTAAACTGTACCATTGAGGCAAAGGGTGACGTGCACCAATACTGAAGGGCTTTGCTTCACTAGCTATTTAAGGTCGCAGCAGATTGGTCAAGGTGTGCATGTAAGAAAATGCCTTTCTTATACGTTAAATAATTAGAAAGTATCACGTATCTTTTTATTAATGCATATCACACCTGCCAATATCACAATGATGAAAGTTTTTCAATATATCGTGCAGCTCATGTATCAATCTTGTCTTATCTTATGAAATAAAATTTTTTCATTTTAGATAAAGCAAGCAAAGAAAATCCATGGAAAGGGAAAGTCAGATGATGTAAAGGATGAAAAGGTGGAGAGTAACAGTGAGGATACTGAAGACATACCAGCAGCTGAAGTCACTGACAGTAAAGTGGGAAGGGATTGACAATAGACGTTGCAAGGTTCAAAATTTGTATTACAAAAAACACTGACACAAAATAAATTAGGCTTGTCCCGATCCGATCCACGTATCGGATCGGACGCCGATATTGGCAAAAAAATGCGCATCGGCAAAGCATGTAAAAATGCCGATCCAGTTTCTAAAAAAAATTCAGTCCGTATTTTCCAGTTTCGC